TTGTTTTCGGAGGTCATTTTTCTTTACAAAAAATGGTGCTCTGTTATGATGTTCTAGAAGTTTCTCTGGAATGAACAGGTTGTGTTTATGTTTTATTTATACATTGCTAAGTGGTTCATGTTTATTTGTGATTCAGTTTAGATATATTTTATCAAGTTTTCTTTGAGTGCCTTGGTGGTAAGTGGAAAAATTATTATTTCTTTCTAATTTCTCTAAACATACCAATTGTTTATTTACTAATAATTAACTACTAACACAATTTATTTTTGTAACAGTATTCTAATATTATTCCTCAGCAATCCGTGGTCGCTTTGATGCATAAAATTATATGTTGCGAGGAAGCTGAATTAGTATGGTCTGTTTTAATGTGTAACTATTGTGACATTTCAAAATTGCCTTTTCCTCCCTTGGGCCTCTGGTGCTTAACCCCCTGGGACTCCAAGAGTTAAAATTCTCCTGAAAATCATGCCATGGCTTATTTTTGGGGCAGGTCTTGTTTTTGAGGAAACAGTATATTACCTAATAAAGCAGTGATTCTCAAACTGTGCAGCGGCGCCCCGGGGAACCGCGACCTCTTCACAGGGGCGCCGCAAAATATTAAAAGATACACAAGTTTTTTTGGTTTTTTTTTTAAATCTCTTACATACGAATAGTCATACTTTTACTTAGATTAGGGTGCCGTGGAGAAATTTAACTGAGAAAAGGCACAGTGACTAAGAAAAGTTTTGGAAACACTGAAGTAAAGGATTCTTTTTCACCCCTTGAGGTGAATTAGATAAACAGAGCTAAACCCATATTTGTTAATAGAGTAATTGGAATTCAGTGGGTGATGTTGTCAGAATTACACTAGCTGTCTTTACTTCCCAGGACATTTTCTGGCACCCATTTTAGGCTGGAAGCCCAAGTCAGTTTTTTTTTTTAAATCGTCCTAGATGTAAATTTGAATGTATGTTTAAACATATGAACACCAAACTGGCAGACATGCATGCTAGCCTCATATTGATTATCCTATTTTTTGCATGTTACATATAAATATTCATTTTTTTATTGCTTTAATATTATGGTTTTCTGGTTACTATATAGTATGGATTTTTTTGGGTTTTTTTTGTTTGGTGTTTTTGTTTTGTCTTGGTTGGGATTTTAATAACATTATTATCTGTGATAAATACAGCAAATAAAATGGTTAAGCAACTTAGAGAGAATGCACAGTGATATCATAATATACAAGGCTTAGACAAAAAGAGGCGAGGGATGTGAAGAACGAAGTAAACCAAGAAAAATCTGGGAAGATAACATTAGAAAAACTCTACAAGAGTATGTGTCCTTTGTCGAGGTGATGAATTTGTCCGTGACCTGTTAAAAAAAAAAAATTTATGGAATTTTAATGGGGTCATGATATGTTTTTTATTGTTCCCAGAATGTAAGGGTTAAGGGGCAGGAACTTTAATTCAGGAAACATTTGTCTCAAGACAGTGTAGTGAGTAAGTGAAGGAGTCTTTTAAACTAGTGGCGTATTGAGCGTGTGAGGCCTGACGCATATATTGACAGCCGAATTGATAGTCAGTGGGTGATGTGATTAGTATGATGCTGGCTACCTTTACTTCCCATGACTTTACCTGGTGCCCAGTTTAGTGTGATTAGTATGATGCTGGCTACCTTTACTTCCCGTGACTTTACCTGGTGCCCAGTTTAGTCTGAATTCAGAGCCAAGTTCCTTTTAATGCCTGTGTGGGTTTAGGGTCCAGGTTTGGGGATAAAAAAGAACAGACCTACTGCCTCCCTAACAAGCATGAAGAACATGGTGACTAATTAGAGGTGTTTCCTTGAAAGTGAGAGTGTATCTGCCTGAGAGGTGAAAAACCAAAAGTCTGCATAGAAATAAGCCAGGTTTGTAGAACAGATGTGCTTGCAAATCTCAAGTTCTGGACCAGACCAATGTCCAGAAATGTACGACTAACCGGAGCAACAGGAGCTTTTTGCAGCGGTTAACAGCCTGTGAATGCTGAAACATGAAAGAAGAAGTTTATTTTTCTATTATATATAATTCTCTTTGTGAAGACAAAGGTAAGGGAAAGAAATTATGTTTGTGAGTGGAATGATTTCAAGATATGTTCATTAAACTATTATCTGCCAATGTTGTTCTCCGCATTCTTCTATAAAATGACATCTCTGCAGCTTAACTCTTTTAGCCCCAGGCGACACATGCTGTGTTACTGACCGTTCTCCACTCGTCTCAAACACCACATAAGGTGACTTCTTATATTTAAGTATTGATCAGTGTACAAGAAAATAAATCTGGTAACCACCAATGTCTCTATCATTCATTTATCATCCTTACATCACTGCAAGTGGTTCAACTTGTTGTGGCAATCTTTAATGAACAATTATTATTTTTATTTAAAACCTTATGGAAATGAAAGAGTTAATGGCTCACTAATCAGCTGCTTATCCATGATTCACTTTCGTCACATCAGTAAACATTGCTACATATATTTAAGGTAAACACTTTTTTCACTGTCTGTATTAACCACTTTTAGTGTGGTTTAGGTTTGGGGAGGAGGGGTTGTGAGCCTGAGGATCTAAGACCACATGGCTGGTGCAGTTGCCACAAACTGTTCAGTTTAGGAAAAAGCCCAGCCTTCTAACCAGTCGGCCAGACCTTCCTCACTCTACATCATCAAGTGCCTAGCCAGTTGGCAAAGGCGTTTATGCATCGCCACAGATCTCGGTCTTTGGTGTTCTGGATCATTTCTACTGATGATATTCCTCCATGCCACTTCTTGAGCTAATCCACCATCATTTCTCTTGGTCTGCCTCTGCCTCTTCTACCAGTGATCTTTCCAGTCGTGACAATGTTTTCCAGTGCTCTTTTTCTCACTACACTACATAAATAATGCAAATGGTTCAACTTTCTAGTTTCTTCTGATTCTGTCCAGCTGAGAATAGGCTGTCGTCCTCTTGTTCATTGTTTCTTCATTTCTCTTTCTTCTCATCTTTCCCTTTCATTTCTTATCATAATCAGCGTCTGGTTGTGCCACTGTAAGTTACATATACAGAAAGGCTAAGTCACAAATACAGGGAAGGCTAAGTCATATACACCAGGGAAGACTAACACGGCCAACAAATGCCTGCTGAAGTCAGATATGTTGGCAGAAAGGTGCAAATATTGTAGCCATGCTGTAAACATGCACAATGCAATTACATCTTCGGATGAATTCAGAAGAAGAAGTCACAAAGGGCTAACAGTCTGTTTCTCAATTGCGTTCTATCCTGTGCAGTCCTTTCAATATCATGGATTAGATCCAGTCCTTTACATTTAACCTCTCTCAACAACATTCAGCTTAGGGTCTCTCATGAACATCCTCATCGCTTGGTGCAGCAAAGCCTGGCATATAATATCATGTCTAGTTTGAGAATGCAGTTACTGGATAATCAACAACAAAATAATCACTGTAGATCGGAAGAAAGTAGAATATTGCTGAATATAGTACAGTAAGTCTAATCCTACTTACATTGCTTCACAAACAGCAAACAAAATAAATGCAACATGTTAGTTGATAGTGTACTGTCAGCACACTAAAACCATAAAATGTTTCTGGTACAATCTTCAGCAGCAGAAACAAAATCAGTCTTAAAAATAATATATTTTAAATTGTATGACTATGCATCTTTCCCATTGCAACATACGCCTGTGAGACCTGGACACTTACTAAACAAGCGGAACAGCGCATAAATGCATTTGAATATAAATGTTACAGACAGGTTCTAAGAATATCTTGGGTAAAGAAAAGAACAAATGCATCCATACTTCAAGAGCTGAATATTGAAGAGGGTTGGCTAGTAAAGACAATAAAACAAAGAAAATTGAAATATTTTGGTCACTTGAAACGTCATGGAGGTCTAGAGAGAACAATAATGGAGGGGTATATGCCTGGGAAGAGAGGAAGAGGAAGGCCAAGGAGAAGATGGGTGCAGGATGTGGCAGATGATCTCCAGATGGGTGTATCAGACGCAGGACATCTTGCTCATGATAGGAAGGTTTTCCGGAGGGTTGTTATGGCAGCGAGGTTCCGCGAGGGACATGCTACTGAATGAATGAATGAATGAATTGTTTAAACGTATAAATACAACTATTATAAGTTGACCGTGGGTTTTGAATTGCCTCTTGGGATTATTTATAAATTGACTGTAGATTTATATGCGACCACTAAAACAATTAATAAATTAACCATATATTTTAAATTGTGTCTTGGGAATATTTATAAGCTGAATATAAATTCTGACTTACAACTTAGCAATTAAAAGTTAATTGTGTATTTTAGTTGGTTCCTTCAGACTGATAGTAAGTTAACAAATGTTGTGATTCCTACTTCCTGAAGTGACCATAACTTGTTATCTATATCGTGGAAGTACACATAAGCTGACCACAGATTTTGATTTGTGCTTTGGGACTAATCAGTTGACCAGAGATTTTAATTTGTTCTTTGAATAAGCTATCTGTGGATATTGATCTGTACTTTTGAACTACCTATATTTTAACCGCAGACCTGTCATAAGCCGACCCTAGAATTGTATTAACTCCTTGAGACCATTAATGTATTCTCTTCTTCTTTCTTCTGCCTTTGCCCTAACAATGGTGGTTGGCACACTGTATTGTAGTTTGTAGCTCGTCTGCACTATCAGCACAATTCAGCCCAACACATCCAATTTCATCGAACCTCTAATGATTCAGCATGTTTGGGGGGGGGGGGGGGGGGGAGCAGGAGATAGTAGATCTGTTCTTCTCCCCCACAACATAGGCCCCAGAACCTACATGGGGAAGGGGGGAGAGGGACTATAAATGTTATCAATAGATTTTGATTTCTACCTTGGAACTACCCATAAATTGCTTTAAAAATTTTTATAAGTGCCTTAAGACTGTTCAGAGTGGACCAAAAATGTGTATTTTTATGATGAGTCTTGTCATAAACTGACTGCAGATTCTATGTCTCTTATTGGTGCTATCCGTCAATTGACCATGGAATCCGATTCAATTGTGCTAGTCTATATCGACCAATGTTAGGGTTTGGGGTTGGCTCGTAGATAACTCTTGCTCTGCTATGAATGTCCCTGAGACGTTCTGCAATGTCATGTACAGCTGTCTGCTTGCGTCTTATGTTGCCTTGATCTCGTGCATTCTGCTCCATTAGTTGTCTAATAGCAACCTCTTCTTGCCGAAGTATGGCTAAAGCTTGCTGGTTTCTCTGTTCTTGTTCAGAAAATGCCTGGAGATAATCAGATGAAACATGGTTTTAATTATTGGAATTAATTTATACTTCTGGTAGTGAGCATACTTTGAATCTTTTCTCCAGGATATGCCAGTGAGGTGGGTAATGAACAGGCAGACAGATTGGCTGGATCTGCACCACTGGGTGGTGAATTGATGCATGACAAGGCAGATGTGGTCAAGGCCCTTTGGAAACAAGCAACGGAATCAGTAGAGAAACAAGATTATGGCCTAGAGAGAATGAGGCACCTAGGTGTAACCAGAGGGTTTGGCCGGCTCACTACACTCAGAGGAAAAGCAAGACGGAGATATAACCAGATTGTGATCGGTACCATCAGTACTGGAACTCTGCGCTCGCTACTGAAGATGAGGACTGAGCATGCATGGGAGTGCCCCAAGGTGCTGTTATGTCAATTCTTGACTCAACTCAACTCACCTGAGGACAGTGTCCTGGACGCGAAGTATTCCAGTGGGTTCTAATGGCAGCCTTGATCTTTGTATTCCTAATCACATACTACATATTTAATATATGGGTCATCCTTGAGAAATGTATAGGGTAGCACCTGGAGGCGCATCAATTCCATAGTGCTATCCTTCAGACCAGTGGGCAGTCTGTGGGTGACCTGGTTAAAACCATACCAGTCCACTTTCCTTACTTTCCAGGTCAGTGCTTGAAGTCGAGAAGATCGAATTCATAACACGTTTTTTTCCATACTGCTTAATCTCTCTCTCTCTCTCTCTCTCTCTCTCTCTCTCTCTCTCTCTCTCTCTCTCTCTCTCTCTCTCTCTCTCTCTCTCTCTCTCTCTCTCTCTCGCTCCGCAGAAAGGCTTGACGCCTGCCAAGAACGTCATACAAAGCGCACACTCCATATCTCATGGACGATCCCTGAGGAAAGTACAAATTGCACTCGTGAACCGAATGACGCAGCTGTGAAACGAACTTAGACCTTCAGAACCCAAGACAAAAGGTTTGATCACTTTGGTTTTCTGGTACCCATTTTAGGTTGCGTTTATCTGAGAGCGAGATCATTTTAAGTAGTCTGCCTAGAAGAGAAATTGATTTATTGATCACTTACTTGACAAGCAAGCAAACTAGCTACTGCAGTTCTGTCCCCTCCTCTAAAAGGATCTCCTTCCTACGCATATCAGTCTTCCGTGCTGGTCCAAATACTGGCATCAAATCGTCAGAGACGCCTTTGGTGGAACTCAGGCGGGGCTACAGTTGTGCCAGCTCACAGCAAAGTACGGAGGTCTTTAAAATACTAGTTAGTTTGCTTGCCTCAGACCCCAGTTTAAGACCTGCACTTCAGAACTTAATTTCTTCAAGGAAGTTGGGCAAAAGTACCAACACCAGTAGTGTACCATTATAACTGCAGTTTATATTTACCGGAAAATAGTAGTCATAACAAAACTAGCAACGGCCCATGCAGAACTGAAAAAAAGTACACGGCAAGTTCGAAAACAAACCGAATACATAGACTATCTTTTGAAGCAATATATGGTCGTTAACAACAATTGATTGGGAAGTATCTTTACATCCAATGGTAAAATAGACAGAGAGATTGAAGCAAGAATCCAACAAGCCAACAATGTCGCATACCAACTTGCCCCAATTTTAAAACACCCTGCTGTCCCAGCTGAGATAAAAAGACAAATTATAAATACAATCTTTATACCGACATTAGGTTATCAATGTCAGACTTGGACATTAACAAAAGAACATGAGAGAAGACTAGCCACCTGTGAAATGAGATGTTTGAGAATGGCTGCGAATAAAACCAGAAGAGATCGAGTGAGAAACGATGTGATTACAAGAACTATTGGAACCATACCCATCGTTAAATTTATTGAGAAGCAAAGAATGAAATGGTTTGGTCACCTAATGAGAATGGAACCAACGATGCCAGCATCAAGAGCATACAACATGAAAATCGAAACAACAAGAGGTGTGGCACAGTCGTGCCTATAATCCCCCAAGAAATAGATGTGCCTAATTCGGCCAAGTTGAATGAATATAGTTCGTATCTCTCTTCAATCGTACTCAAGAACAAGGCCAGTGATGTAATCAATTACATAAGAGCTGGTTTATTCATAATATTATCGTCACACACATTTCATAAATTCAATAAGCAATAGTATATGAACACTCCTTATTACTGGCTATTCGTATGCCTCTACGAGTTCCTTAACCACTGTTCTGGCTAAACTCCAAGTTTAACATATACCTTCTAAACGAAGTAAAGCACTAGTTTTCTCCTAACCGGTTTCTCTAGCGGTCTAGCCCTAACTGTCTTCTCAAGCGGTTCCGGGGCTAACTCACTGTTCTAGCTAAACTCCAAGTTTAACATATACCTTCTAAACGAAGTAAAGCACTAGTTTTCTCCTAACCGGTTTCTCTAGCGGTCTAGCCCTAACTGTCTTCTCATGGCGGTTCCGGGGCTAACTCTCTGTTCTAGTTAAACTCCAAGTTTAACATATACCTTCTAACGAAGTACAGCACTAGTTTTCTCAACTGGTCTCTCAAGTAGTCCGGTCCTAACTGTCCTCTCAAGCGGTTCCGGAGCTAACTAACTGTTCTCCAGCGGTTCCGTCCTAACTGTCCTCTCCAGCGGTTCCGGGTCTAACTCTCTGTTCTAGTTAAACTCTAAGTTTAACATATCCTTCTAAACGAAGTAAAGGACTAGTTTTCTCCTAACCGGTTTCTCTAGCGGTCTAGCCCTAACTGTCTTCTCATGGCGGTTCCGGGGCTAACTGTCCTCTCCAGCGGTTCCGGGACTAACTGTCCTCTCCAGCGGTTCCGGGACTAACTAACTTCTCAAGCCCCTGGCTCTGACTTTATTCCACCGCTTTCCCGCTCCTCCTGGCGTACCATCTTAATCACTTCCCTGTCACCTGTCCTTGGTGGTCACGTTTGGATGAACGTATCTCGTCAGTTGGTCACAGCTCACGGGTACTCGTCGAATGTTTCATCCCTCACTGTCAGATGTCATGGCGGTGTGTTCTGCATAGCTGGCTAGGTCATGGCTTTCTAATCACCCATTCTGTCATTTCACACAGTGATGGATTAGTACGCCGTGTGGTGGTCTGAAATGTATGCTTGTTCATTTAACCCCTTTCTGCCTATATTTCATTACAGAGGCAGGGGAAGACCAAGAAGAAGATGGATTGAAGGAGTCACGGACAACTTGAGACTTCATAACATCACGGCATATGAAGCGACTGAGCGCGCCCTGGCTCGGTTGCCGATCATCTGATAGACTGCGACGCCTAGCGGCACAAGCAGATTTTGACAAAAGAAGAAGAAGAACAATTGATGCGATTTTAAACTGTTATTGCGAAATAAATATTTAACGAATATACACATGTGACATCTTAAAGTGTTCTCACAAGTTTAAAGTTGCGTCTGACCTTATGTGCCTCTGAGGTTTAAAAAGGCATTGAGCAGATAAGGAGCACTTAGTACTTTAAGAGCAGCAAATGCATCTGTAACTCCGGATACGATTCGGAGATATGGCGGTAGATACAAACCGTTTAGATATCGCCAGAGATATAAATGGCGCCTGTACATAAATGACTAAGTCTAGAAGGAACTGTAAGCCCTTTCAGAACATTTTGAGAGGTCACATGTTTATATCGAGTAAGTACGTCTTTTGTAATAACAGTTTAAAATCCCGACAATCACTGTCAAGACCCTGTATTTACAAGTGCATGAGTCTGGATTTAAATATAGTTCCGGTAAAGGAGGTGCTGATGACCAACATGTTAATTATTGATTGGCTACTGGATCTATCAGAAGTAGGCTCCAACACAGTACCCAGCAAATGGGTAAGGTAACATGCAAATATCACTACAATGAGACAGCGTTAAACCGAAAGAATTGTCGCTCAAATACAATAGGGATTAGATGACAAACATGTAGATCAGCCCTTCTTAAACCTTTTTCGCCGCGGCATCCTTGTCACTTGAATTTTTTTCCCCCGCGGCACAACTGCCTTAGAGCAGTTGAATACTTAGGAAAGGGAGAAAAAAAAATAGTGCAAATTTAATGTTCAGTTGCCTTTAATGAGATGAATGCAAATGTTTGGATGCATTTTTTTTATTATTGCCGCGGCACCCACAGCAAACGCTCGCGGCACCCAGTTTGAGAGCCGCTGGTGTAGATCTGAACAGCGGGACTTGATTTTTCTGGCAATATGCAATGGTACGAGAGTCGCCGTGGCCGAGCGGCTAGACGCTCGTCGCGGATCGGAAGGTCGTGGGTTCGCACCTTGGCGGAGCCGGACTTTTTTCAAAAATGATCTTGGCTCCCAGGTCGACCCAGCCTTGAGTGGGTACCGGGTGCAGTCCCGGGAAAGTAAAGGCGGCCGTTGTGATGCTGATCACCCATCTTGTGCCGATTGGTCTATAAAAATATAGGTCTAGCCCTATACGCCTGATGGCGTGGAAAAGGGTCCTTTACTTACTTTTTTTTTTATACAATGGTAGGCATTTTTTGAAAGGGTGCCTAGATGGTCGTGTTCTTAGTACACTTGTTTCCATAGCCAGGCGCACACGCCATTTGGAGGTGACATATTCGTTTCCCGGCACGGTAACTACAGCTTTCGATTTGTATGTTGTCTAGTATGTCCTTCTATCTTTATACTTCTTTCTATGAGTGCCAATCAATACATTGTTTGTTTATTTTATATATAAAACACCTTTTCTGAAAGCATGCTCTTTTTTCAGCCCTACTGTGATGAATACATGCAACTTTCTTAGACAATCACCCCCCTTCTCCCCCCCCCCCCCCACTTTCCCGATGAAGTAATAAGTATTACTGTATTTAATTAAGAATCACCGCACTGGGAACATTCACACCCGTCCCTATTTTCAGCAGCAAGCGCAGAGTTCCGACTTCCATGGTAAGTCTGTATATCCGTCTCGTCCTTACCCTGTGTGTTGAGCGTCGACCAGATCCACTGGTAACTGCTCGCAGCGCCATCAGCTGTGTGTTCTTCAGTTACAAGATCAGTTTCTAGAGCTCTTCTCATATCCTGCTACTATGGGGAAAACTTCTTCTTCTTAAAGTCTTTGCCGTGTGGTTTTGGCAGTCAGGTCTAGCCACAACCTTCTGTCTCTTAAACTGTCAATCAATTCTGGCACAGATGATCCTCCATGCTATGATGTCACACTATCCACCATCTTTTCTCTCGGTCTCCCTCTGCTTCTCCTCACCTCCAACTTCCCTACAGTCACGATATACTCCAGTTGTCTCTTTCTCTTCACATGGCCACAGAATGAAGATTGTCTCTCTCTGATGTGGGCAATCAGTTCTCTTCGTGAGTCCGTTTCTTTCTTGGGGAAAACAGAGCTGAATTATTAGAATTTCATGGGGTGTGCCTACCTGGTTTAAGTGGTACAATGTCTTGGGAATGTCCTCGTTAGACCTTGGGTAGGCTGTGTTTTGTTGGCCAAAAGGAGGAAATTCTGGTAAAGCTCTAAACTGGTCCCCAAACTCAGGTCCACTGGAGATAGAATCAGTAAGTAAAGTCCGAGCATTGAAGACTCCTCTTGGCGTTGTTTCTGGTTCGGCTGGTTCTCTGAGATGGTGAAGGAACCAATATATCCACCATATTAATGACACAATGTTAGTAATATTGTCAAATTATGCATATTTCTATCATAATCGTCGGCCTCTGTGGCTTGAGCGTAAAAGCCGGGGTGCCGGGTTTGATCCCTTCTGTGGGCCTCGCGATTTGCGTTAGTTTCGACAGTGGTATCGAGAAGCCGACCGTCTAGGGCAACAGCAAATTACTGGACGTAAATTTGCCTTAAAAAAACCACAACAGCGAAAAAATGCTGGGGTTGGTTCTGCAACGTCCTGTAAAGGATACACAACTAACTTTTTTTTTAAGTTATCATAATCACATACCAAATCAACGCGACATGTGAAACAATACAAATTACATTTTGGTCATATAAATAATTACAAAAGATACAAATGCCAACTAACAAGTATATACTCTAAGAACTCGATTAAAACCATCTATGCCAATTAAAACCCTGAGGGTTGAGCGGGATATTTTTGAAAAATTACTACTACTACATGAAATAATTGGTGATTTTAATTATTTATATATGTAAATTCTTCATGTTGCTGTTGATATATAAGGCATTCACAAGTGATTTTTACTGATCCAAGTCTGCTGTTTTTATTTATTTTGATCCACGTGTGAGTTCCTGGGCCCTGTTATAGGGAAAACAAGAATAGACCAACTTCCTACCCAAAAGCATGTCGTAAGAGTCGACTAATTTAGAGCTTCCTTCAAAGTCAGAGTTCATCTGCCTGAGAGGAAAGAAACCAGCAGTCTTCATACAAAAGAGTCAGATCTGTAAAATGGATGCACACGCAACACTCAGGTTCTGGAACAGGACTGCAGTCCAGAAGTAGATGAACAACCAGAACTTTCAGCCAGAGTTTACAGCTGGTGAACGCGAAAAAGAAGAAGATTTCTACTGTCTTTCTACCAGTGCGGTGCTTTCCATTGATCCTATTTCCGCAACAATGTAAAAAATGGGTTTTGTGAGAGACGCCTTTGTGTAGCGCTCGGCCTGCGGATTAGAAGGGCTTGTGTTCAGGTCCTGACAGCGCCGAAATTTTAACAGAAATGATCTTGGCTCCCAGGTCGACCCAGCCTTAAATGGTTACCAGGTAAAGCCCTTGGAAGTAAAGGCGACCGGCGTGATGTTGACTAGATCACTCACCAATTGTCGATTGGTCTATAAAGATATAGGTCTTACCCTATATGCCCAATGCGCCCGAAGGCGTGGAAATGGATCCTTTACCTAATGATTTTTCAATTCCTTTTTTTTTGGGGGTCTTTCTTTATTCCTATACCACTGTGGGTTCCAGTGCAAAGACATTCTAGTTATAGTGTTCTTCGGTTTTCTCAACGTGTGTCCTATCCAACGCCAGCGTCTTTTCTTTACCTCTTGGTCTACTAGGAATTGCTTAGTTCTCTCCCAAAGCTCTACATTAGTGATTTCATCATACCATTCAATTCCTTTTATTCTGCGCAGGCACCAGTTAATGAATGTTTGAAGGTTGCTAGTAATTGCCTTGATTGTTCTCCATGTTTCCGCCCCATACAATGGTACTGATTTGTCATTAGAATTAAACATTTTCAGTTTAGTATTTCTTTTAATTTCTTTTCACCTCCACAAATATATTTGTGCTATGAAAGCTCCTCTTGCCTTTTGTATTCGTATTTTAATATATACCTCAGTTCCCTCAGCTTTATCTACATTACTGCCCAAATAGGTGTACGACTCTGCGTTTTGGAGTGGGGTACCATTACTATTTGCCTGATTTATTCTCATTATCTTTGTCTTTCCATTATGGATTTTCAGACCTAGCTGCTGTGATCTCGCATCAAGTATATTTAATTTATCTTGCTTCTGATTCCGTTAATGGGACAGAAGAGAAATATCAGCAAAGTCCAGATCATCAAGCTGTTTTGTAGGTGTCCACCGAACTCCATTCCTGGTGTTAGCAATTACTGTCTTCATAATCCAGTCTATTGCCAGTAAAAATAAGACAGGCGACAAAAGACATCCTGTCGCACACCTGTTTTTATTTCAAATGTATCTGTTATCTCTCCCTCGCGAAGAACTCGACATTTCATGTCTCTGTATGCTGCCTTTACTAAGTTAATAATTTTCTGTGGGATTCCATAGCACCCCATCAATTTCCAGAGACCCTTCCTTTTAACGCCGTCAAAAGCTTTTTTCAAAAGCTGCGTTAACGCATCGTTAGCCCGCCCCGGTGACGTCAGCAGCATGGCCCGTCAGCTGGAGCCGATCGTGCCCTAGACCTAAGAAGCCTGGTTAGGGAAAATTGTACACCCGGGCAATAGAATTGCCAGATACTCCGTTTACGCAGAATTCATCTGCCCCCCCCCCCCTTTTCCCGCTCAAATTGTGGTATGTTCATATGGAGTACATTTAGTATGTTGATTATGTATATTTTATAGCCCATTACATATAGTCGTGAAAATGTCGATGCAAAAACAAACAACGAGTCGTCACTCCGTTTGTAATTTACAAAATCTGGCAACCCTGCCATGTACTAATTTACAAGAATCAATAATGCGAATGAGGAGAATTAGGAAGCTGTCACAGTAATTAATGACAGCACGTTACTGTTTATAAACATTTGGAGCCCAGATCATTGGCAATTTTTAACTAAAGTGAAAAGGCGAAAAATACAAATAATTTTGGCATGTAATAAGATCTAACGGCCTCACAAAAAAAAAAAAAAAAAAAAAAAAAAAATATTGCAGGGCTCAGTAGAGGGAAAGAGAAGAAGAGGCAGGCCAAGAAATACCTGGTTACAGAACCTGACTAACTGGACAGGCCTCAGGCATGCAACCATGAAGTCCATCGCAACTGACTGCCAAAGGTGGAGAGAGCTGATCAAACAGTCAACAGAAACTGTTGACCAAACGACACGCAGTGTTACGGGATGGTGCCCAGGTATAATTATTTTATACGGTGGAACAGGGCATCTGCAATATGTTAATGTTGGATTTCCATGCGATTAGTGGCTCATTGATTCGCTAGGTGTCAGACTTCTAGATTGCAGTCCCAAATGGGAAATTAGGTGAATTCAGAGCCGTGGAAGACACATTATTGCTGAAAAGGACTCGCACTAGAAAAACATGATAGTAGTGCAGCTAGACACAGAGTTGTCTTACCAGCCGCAAGAACCCATGGGAAACCCAATGTGCTAGGGGCCCCTACAATGACCACTCGCAGGATTACAATTGTTGGTCCTTTTCACGTTTTCCCGGCCCATCTACTCGCTGGCTGACCTTTCATTCATTTTTTCTCAGACTGTTCTATGTCAGAGGGCTGTCACGTTGTCTTGCCTCCAGTTGCATCAGCGCCGATGTCGCGTGTTCTATACTATACGACGACACAGCTTTTAAAGACTCCAGAACATTTAGAACTGGCCCTAACCCCAACCCTCCTACAAACCCCCTACCCTGAGCCTAGGTCCCACGAAAGAATCTTTTCGAAGAAAACAGTACAAAATTATACCTCTCTGACCTAGACCAGACTGGGAAAGTGTGTAGATGAGCCAGGAAAAGTGAAAAGGACCAAATTTTTATGAATGGTGAATTTCTTCACATAAAATTTGTTTTCATAGGTTTCTATGCTCGAGGGGTCCTGGGCTAGTTCCAAGTAGGCTAGTGCGGTTAGATGGGATTGTCTAGATAGCTTTTTTTTTTTTTTTTTTAACTTATGGAATAGGGGGGAAAAAAAACCGAAAGAGACAATCAGAAACTTGTCAGCGGATGCTTACTTAAAGACAGACACTGAAGAACTCACCTCAACTTTAACAGGGCACCTAAAGAGAGCCCATTGCTCCGTTGACCACCAGAAGGTAGCACTCCTGCGGTGACGCTCTTACGAAGGTCTGGTCTCAGAGACAAGTAACCTGATCTCCGGCTGATGTCGGTAATCCGTCCTAGAGGTCTAGTCATGGCCGTCTTGTATCCAGTGTCATCTTTGGTACGTGTCTATAGTTAAGACATAGCAAATTCGAACATGAATTGTATTGCGGTGGCGTCCGCGGCTTAGCCGTTGCGAGTCCCACTCGTAATCCAACGTACCGCGATCGAAACCCACTGCTGGCTGCGTGGATTGTTATCATGGTATAGGGCGTCGCAGGTCGACCCAGCCTAAAATGGGTACCAGAATGGCTGTCCTGTGGAAGTGAAGACGGCCGGCATAATGCTGACCACATTACCCATCCAGTGCCGATTGGTCTGTAAAAATATGGAACGCTCTTCACATATGCTCGATGCGCCTGAGGCGTGAGAAGGGATCTTTACTTTACTTACTATACTATTATTGTATTGCGGTAGAGAAGTTATGAAGTTTATCTTCGTAGTGGCAGTAGTAGTAGTAGCGGCAGCAGGAGCAGTAGTAGTAGCAGCAGTAGTAGTAGCAGCAGCAGCAATAGTAGTAGCGGCAGCAGGAGCAATAGTAGTAGTAGCCATGCCTAAGAGGATTATACTTGGCATTAGGTGACAAGACAAGGTCATAAACATTGAGGTCTTTGAAAGAGCAGTTACCAAATCTAGTTTCCCAATGTGCAGTCTCTAAAGGCTCAGATGGCTAGGTCACATTTGGAGAATAGAGGTTAGCTGAAACCCTGCAGGACATTACTGATAAATGTATCGAGGTAAATTCGTGGGAACAAAATATCATGAACCGTTCTAAATGAGGAACAAGGAAGGGGTTGGGGTGGTTGGGGGGGGGGGGGGGATTGCGAAGAGCATAGGGATAAAGAAGGAAATGACTGCAGACCAGTTAAGAGCTGATGGTCTAAGAAGAAGCGTATTAAATACGTGTGTTAAAAAGTGCATGATCGTGTGAAGAGTTTTCATGCGCTTCTTGCTAGTGACACTCGCCATCACTGTGTGCTGTGATTACCATGCCCCCTATTGCACAGTACAAAACTATCGTCTGGTTAAATAGAAAGGTGCCAACAATAACATTTCTTTTGTCAATCTCTCTACTAATTTACCTGCTATTTTTGGCGTTATTCAACTCTGTTATTATTACTACTGTCGGTCCTTCTACTATGTTTAATGAAAAATTACAGTCTTTGTTTCAATGAATTCATTTCTACTATACTGCCTGTCAGTCTTAACAGTTATTCAACCCGGTATCGCTATTGCCAGTCTTTATACTGTTATTCCTGTCATAATTTCCTCATTCAACCCACCACCGTGTTAGCGCAGTCGATAAGAGGCTCGCTTTCAAATCCAGCTGCGACTCGCTGCAGCTACGGTCGGTGTTCAAAACCGGGCGGCTTCCGGGGTTCACCCAGCCTCTAGGAAATGGGTACCAGAGTTGACACTCTGGGGTAAATGAAGGAACGTCGCTGTAGCTACAGAGTTACGTGCGAACGGCGACACAGGCGGACAATTCTTATCAGCTGTACGTACTGGTGGCAGAGCACTTATGGTTTATAACCGTGTGCAATGACACTGGTTCACATCTCCCGACTTTACCTTTACCTTTCAACCCACTGTTACTGTTGATAATCTTACTAACATTTTTTGGGGTCATTCATTACTATAGGTTCTGCAATTTCCCAGTCATTGAATTCAAATTAAGAATTGTTATAGTTTCGATTAGTTTTTTGGATGCTTTAATAATATCCTACCCTAAACAGGTCACGGGACAGTCTAATATTTCAGGGGGGTGGTAGATAGGCTGCATGCAGTCGTGGGACCTAGGTTGCATGCAGCCGTGGGACCTAAGCTGCACTCTCTCGTGGGACGTAGATGGGTTGGGGTTAGGGCTAGTTCTAGATGTTTTGGGTTCGTTAAAAACATCAGAAAGCCGGGAAACCCAGTCTTTATAATGTTGGACTGTCCTGTGACGTCATCTGGGGGTAAGATAATAATGAAGAACCATTTTTCGTTTACGGCTATATTATTTTCCCTTAAAGTTCACCTGTCCGCTGGCGGTGACGTCTGTATCCAAGATAATATCCACAATCCAGCTATGCCCCGTGTTCTTGAGTACATCCAAGAACTTCTTCAGCGAGTGAAGACCCTGGTTTTCTAGTGAACGTAGGAGTAACGGCACTTGTTGATGAGCTGGTTCTGCCTGCAACGATATTGGGGAAATATAAAGGAAACGCTGCGTGAAAAGTCATTACCGGTTATAAATCTATAAACGAACAGGAGCGCCCGGCCGAACGGTTAGAACGCTGGCCTCACAAGCGGGAGACCAAGGTTGGGATCCTCGGTAAGGCTGGGGATTTTTTTCCTGTCGGGGGTAAAATCAAATCCTCACCTGCACAGCTGTGACGACAGCATTAGCCATGCGACTGTAAATACTCAGGTTCAAAGATTCCCCCCCCCCCCCTTTTCCCCCCAGCCTACACCCGCAAAAGTGGTATATAAAAAAATTGGCAATCTAGAAACAAAACAGTGTCGACTGGCATTATAATGGGACCAGGCGCCGGTACAGCGATGAGAAGCGACGATCTGGGAAACATTATAAGCCATCCCATGATCTCTTAGGCGGTAAGAAACCCTGGATAATATTGTAACAACTTGCAAAGTTAAAGAGTAAAGTGAAGGTGAGAGGTTCGATTTCATGCATCGGGTTTTATCTCACGTGGCTCAGTCTCTCTTAGGAAAGCTAGCTGCCTGCCTGCCAAGAGCTTAGCTCCGGCGATGATCCCCAGGGATTGCCGTAAACATTGCACTCGTGAACTGAACTGCACTGGCGCGAAACGAACCCGCGACCTTCAGAGCGCGAGGAAAACGGCTTGGCCACCTCGACACGGAGACCTCCAATTTGGGAAGTTAGTGACCACAGATGTTACTATGGCTAAACCCTAAACTTAGGAACGATAATTGTGTAACGCCATCGCCAAGGCTGAAGACTAGACAGGAAAATGTTGTAACAAATGGCAAGATTAGTAACCCATGTCATCCCATAAGATAAGATGCGAAAATTATGTAACAAATTGCAAGATTAGTAACCGCATGGCCAAGCCAGGTATCTCATGCGGCTAACGGCCAGATAGGCTATATCAAGAATTAAATACTGAAGGCGAACTTACCAACACATTAGATAGAAAGAGTAAAATAACGATCATTCCATCTCCCTAACACTTAAGTTAAATGGAGGAAGGGGAGAAGAAGGAAGAGGGGAGAAGAAAACCAGAAGAAGAAGAAAGAGAAGAAGAAGAAGAAGAAGAAGAAGAAGAAGAAGAAGAAGAAGAAGAAGAAGAAGAAGAAGAAGAAGAAGAAGAAGAAGAAGAAGAAGAAGAAGAAAAGAAGAAGAAGAAGAAGAAGAAGAAGAAGAAGAAGAAGAAGAAGAAGAAGAAGAAGAAGAAGAAGAAGAAGAAGAAGAAGAAGAAGAAGAAGACGAAGACGAAGAAGAAGAAGAAGAAGGAGAAGTAGAGGAAGATGTGGAGGAGATGAGGAACCGGAGGAGGAGAAGAAGAAGAAGACACATGAATAAGACAGACGAATAAGACTATGCATGACATCCTGAAATGAAGCCTCAATTTCCAAGCGAAAACTTCCAGATTACATTGAATATTATCACTACTCACACTGAAATGACAACATGGATTTTCTCACCAAAATCTTCCTCCTCAGCACATCAGTTATCAACCCACTTGACTTCATCTGATCCAGCACCGACCTGGACAACACCAGATGGCGCCGCAGTAAGAACTCGTTCTGTCTAAGAATAGCTCTGACGATGTGAGTGTCTGATTCCATGGAGGAAATGATCAAGTATCATTGGCTGTCAAAAAGAAAAAAATCCGCGCATCCTCTGAATATACGTATATACGTAGATGATCCCGTTGCAGAATATATTTATATTTATCTGGCCAGTTTGCTTAGTGCACGTGTCTTTTTTTAATATTCGTCTTTTTTAATATTCGTTTTTTTTTTCGTCGATATTCGTCCTTTCTAATATTCGTATTTTTTTTTTTTTTTTTTAATATTCGTCCTTTTAAATATTGCGCAGAATAGGTCAGTGGTATTGTTCTTTTGAGATGGTGCTTTTTTTCTGCAATTGAGAAGGATGATATTAATAATAATAACAGAAAGTAAAGTAATGGGCCCTTTTCTACGTCTTTCAGGCGTATTGGGTATATAGGGCTAGACCTGTACTTTATAGACCACTCGACACTTGGTGGGTGATGCGGTCAGCATCACGCCGGTTGCCTTTACTTACCATGACTACACCTGGTACCCATTTAAGGCTGAGTCGACCTGGGAATCAAGGTCATTTTTGAAAAAAGTAAGGCTCTTTCGGGAGGCAAACTTGCGACCTTCCGATCCGCAGGCGGATCAACGCCGTCAACGCAACGGCGACTCCCAATAATAAAAGGAGCAGCATATAAATCCGCCCCCCCCCTCTCTCTCTCTCTCTCTCTCTGTACCTGTCTTTTTCTCCCTCTCTGTGCGCGCGCGTGCCTGCGTGCGTGTGTGTGTGTGTGTGTGTGTGTGTGTGTGTGTGGAGAAGTAACTAGCTCGAGAAATTAATAGTGACTGCCAAGACTTACTGAAAAAAATGGAGGCAAAAAGATAAATACCTGCACGGGCTGGCCGCAGGATGGGGCAGGATAAAAGCACGGACCTGATCCGTGATTCTGGTGATCGTTTGAGTTTGCGAACCTGCCCTTATTAGTTTTATACATGATGATGATTTCTCTTCTTGTTCGTCACCTTCTTTCTTTTAAACCGTTTCAGGTGTCGAGGGAGACTGATGGTTCTGTTGCTTTTCTGGCCACTCACAGTGCTTTTGTCGAGGTTGTTTGATGGTATCTTTCCTCTTATTCTTGGTCTACCTCTTGCTCTAAGCCTTTCTCTTTTTTTAGTGTATTTCTTGTGTGGTATGACGTTGCAAGGTATTCTCTCTTAAAAGGCAAACCATTTTATATGCTGTCTTTAAAGGTAATGATAATGGTGAATGAATATGATGAACGGTGATCTTCTTCTTCTTCTTCTTCTTCTTCTTCTTCTTCTTCTTCTTCTTCTTCTTCTTCTTCTTCTTCTTCTTCTTCTTCTTCTTCTTCTTCTTCTTCTTCTTCTTCTTCTTCTTCTTCTTCTTCTTCTTCTTCTTCTTCTTCTTCTTCTTCTTCTTCTTCTTCTTCTTCTTCTTCGTGTTCACCAGCTGTAAACTCTGGCGGAAAATTCTGGTTGTTCATCCACTTCTGGACTGCAGTCCTGTTCCAGAACCCCAGAACCTGAGTGTTGCGTGTGCATCCGTTTTACAGATCTGACTCATTTGTATGCAGACTCCTGGTTCCTTGCCTCTCAGGCAGATGCACTCCGACTTCGAAGAAAGCTCCCAATTAGTCGACCCTTACGACATGCTTTTGGGTAGGCAGATGGTCTATTCTTGTTTTCCCTGTAATAGGACCCCTGAACCCATACAGGGAATAAACGGTGATGAATAAACATTTATTTCAGAATGTGAAAGTTAAACTTACAAATCTTGTCTTATTTATCCACACAAAAAAAGTCACACTAAAAAACGAATCACTGAAAAATCACGAATTCTGACAGTTGTAATGGAGAATCACACACAACCCTGTGTCCTTCAACTGTTCAAACCAGACACTGCCTATCGTAAATCGATTTGAGACGCTCTCTACCCGTGTTGTAAAATTATTACCAAAATGTATTAGGTGTCACATAAACTAGGTCTGGAATTGACATTTTTCAGTGCTGGTATGGCTCAACAGCCAAACAGGAACATATTAAGATTCCGTTATTGATTTTTTTAGAAGGTCTTTGAATATTTGTTTTCTGTTAGCTCGTATCGAAGGAGAGGGTTCTTTCCCTTCTACAACGGATTAACACTGATATGGCGCGTAGATAATTTTAGTGGTGGGTTACCGCAATCAAGTGCAGTTCAAGGGAACTGCTTCTCGTCATTTCTAGATCATACCGACGACCGGGTCGCCTATTGGTTCGCCGTTAGACAACTTCGTCGCCGGTCAGGATAGTATCTGGGCCTGTCTGCTATAATCGCATCAACACTGCAAAAGTCCTTTTCATTGTTCTTTGTGGTGTGCAGTGCTAAGCCATTTTATATGGTGTACATAACCATAGTCACAATTATAACACAAAGCTCCCCCTTGCGGGGATGATGGGTGAACATTACGGGTTTCGCCCCCCCCCCCCCCAGCAAAGCACATTTATAGATCATAGCACTTGATGTTTTTTAAAGTCATTTTGTGAGTAGGTTATGTTCTGTTATCACAATCGACTTCTTTTTACATTTGGCATTCCCATGCTTGCTCAGTCATCCGATGCAGCAGCCACTCCAAGGTACCTCTACTGATTGTTCCCATGAGGAGTTGGTTATAGTATCTCCTGTCTTCACCTCGAAGACGACATAGACGTGCTTCGCCAAGCTTAACTTCTCAGTCACGCAGCTATGTTAGCATCAGCTATTCGCTATTATCTCCCAACCTAATCCGCCGTATAGCGTTGATGATGTCAGCTCTGTCCATGCTCCTTCCCGTTTGCGCCGGTGCATTACTTGCCAGTTGGTCAGCTCTTTTATTACCATTTACTCCTGCGTGCCCAGGTGTGTAGATCCAGATGATGTAGGTTAACTGCGACTTCCAAATGCTTTCTGCCCAATCGGAGCATAGACTACCTGTAGTGATTTTCTGAAGCATGTTCATAGAGTGAAACAATTACGACATGTGTGACCGCATCCGACATATCATACTAGACTCATATTTTATAGACCAAACATTGGGTGATGTGGTCAGTCAACATTACGCTGGCCGCCTCTATTTCCCAAAACTTTTCCTGGTAACCATCTTTGGCTGGGTCCTCCTGTGTCATTTATTGTTTAGATGTTTTTTAGATTTTAGATTGGTTTCGTACCTACAATTGAAGTTGGTTTGTATTCTGTATGGCAATTTTC